CCAGTTTCTGTTCAGTTTGTTAGGAGTGAGTTGTAGAATATTATGTTTGCTAGTCATTGAATTAAGACAGTTTCATGTTTCTCTAAATCCGATTATCGGACAAAGTCCTATCCTACAAAAAACAAAATAAAAAAATAAAAATAACAGCAGACAAATAAAAAATTCGAGCATACGGAAATAACATTACATAAAATTCATCTTTCAGAGAAAAAAGTTTAAGAGGCCAGTCATAAGATAAAGTTGACAGTTCCACATAAAAAAAATGATGCATTACGAGCACTTGAAATGCGTTTAAATTTTTGATAAAAGATTTACACTGTAATAACTGAACTTTACAAATCAATTTTTTGTTTTGAATGAAAAAACGTGAAATTTGACCAAAAATCGGTTTTTCTGACAAGACTGTTTTGTTTAGAAGAACAACCGTTCTCAAATGATATTCGATTCCATTCAGGTTAACGGTATTAGCAGAAAAAAGTGGTTCATTCACAGAAAATGGATGATTGTCAGTTAGATTTGTAATGTTCTGTGGCTGTACCTGAGAAACTGTATAACCTTTATCAAAAACATTCTCACAGGAAGTCCGCTAGCGTCATGCATTGCCACTGCATACCATTCTTGGTGACGTTTCGCAGCTGTAAAGGCAATATTCGAAAAGTTATGCCAGTTGATATGTTTAAAAAAAGTGTGTTTTTTTTCGAAACAAAGCACAGAATGAAATCGAGTTGGTCCAAAATGGCGTATTTATGGTGAAAGAAGAAGTAGAAGAAGAAATTTAGGGATTTGTGAATTTGTACCGTAAGTTTTCGCATATAGTTCATTGTGCAGCTCTGTTGCATCTTTGAGTTGCACTACTGTTTCGGCATCCGCTTCAGACGCAAAACATATGCTAACAATACTATGTAAAAGAAGAAATACTTTCCATTCAGCTAGATCACATACAGCGTCGTTTATCAGTCCAATAATAAATGGAAGATTTTTAATCAGATAAAGCATTTGGATAGCATTGAGTGGAATAGGATTGTTAACGTCAAATTTTTGAATCTCGAAAGTTGAAGACGGAGCATATTTCAGTTCAAACGAAGCCAAGGGAAAATTTTTGATCGTATTTGTTAGCTGTTTACGTGTCACAAGTCTTTTTTCATCCAGCGTTTTAAAGAGCATATGTAGCTCTCGACGGCAAATGCCTTCGAGTAGTAAATGCATAAAATCAATGAACGTCTGATGAAAAATATCAAAATTTGGTAGAAGACTAAACAATGACTTTTCATTTATACCGTACAGTTTTTGGAATTTTACTTTTGCGGTTTTTGTAGTCGCCGAACGAATTTCTTCACATTGCTGTTCATACATGTCCGCCTCTCGATGTACAAGATCCACCGCTTTGAACGTATTATACATATCTTTGCGTTCGGTCATTAATAAATAATATGGTCTGTTTGTTTTAGAGAACCCGCATTTGAAACCGTGTAATGTATGAATAGATAACAAATCTCCAAGCATTAAAAACAAATCATCCGATAATTCCGATAATTTTGTTTGTACTCCATTTATCGAAAATATTACTCCCTTACGCAGCTGAGTTAATTCATACATTAGCGGTTCTAATAATTTTCGATAACCAAATTTTTTTTTCACAAACGGCTAATAACGGTATGGCTTTGACTGTTGATCTCGAAAAACGGTGAAGATTAGCTAATGTTATGTAGAATAACGATAAATTTCTCTTCTTCTTCTGAAGGAGATTACTGACCTCGATCCCATCTTCATATAATATAATTTTTAGTGTCGACTGATCTCTAAAGAACCGATGATTCTGTACAAAATTAACATCTGTTAAATCTCTCATTATATTATGCTGAGTAGACTGGTAATTTTGCATGGAATTAACCAGAAAACAGCATATTTACACAGTTGATGGAATAGACAGGACTTTTAGTTTAAGAGCAAACATATTTACTTTTGGACTAATAAATGGAGTTTTTCTGCTATTCTTCAAAACTCACGATTCAATCCAGACGTGTTCAAAAAATTATCAAAACTTCGTTATTTTCCGCAAAAAAAACTACAGTGGAGGATTTTCTCCTTTTGCAGGTTGAGCCTTTGACTTCGCTTTTTCCAGGGAACGATGTCTCGAACCAGGAAAAACTGAAATTGAAGGCATGGCGTAAGAAATTTATGTATTCACATTAATGTGGGGGCCGATTTTTTAATTAGAATGCTAGTTGTACTTAGGCTTACTGAAGTGAGGCCCCATGTTGTCTAAATTTTGCCTTTACAACGAAGCGTGTTTATTCCGCAAGTTCGAAGCAGAACTTTTTTGATCGGCCTGAGTTGATGTGTTTTTCTCTCTTATCTGCTTTTAGATTACAGTACTGGTTTTGCTCATCACTCGTATTTCTGTCCGAGCAAGGGAGTTTTGACTGAAGGGGAGACACAGTGAGCATTTTTTACTAGAGCAGGCGGACACGTGCTTTTCTTAGTTTAAAAAAAATTATTTTCGCATAATATTGCTTACTTATGTCTCAAATGTTAATACAATTAAAAAAAGTAAAAGCTGAAACCATAACAAAGTCCAGTAGAGAAATCGCATTCATGGACGTGACTACGGACTCTCTGGTATGATTTCGAATCAGATCCGACCTGCGCGAACTTGCGCGGCCTCATCATATTCTAAGCACGTATATCGATCGAGGATTAGTTCTAGAGTTAATTAACAACCTATGACAACCGCCTTGTTGTAGGTGAACCCTTGTTCGAAGATTTAGATTGTAGAACAATGCTGTTTGTTGAATCAAAACTAAGACATATTAATGCTTTATTGTTATTAACTTTGGGATTATGTTATGTTCATTATGAACCCTACGAGAGCATGTCATGACAGTCAAAATTCATTTTTCTCAAAATCATATCTCTCGTTTTTATACACATACAAAATTAGTATTTACTGTATTTTTATTTCGTCAATTCCAGATTCTATGTATATTCTATAATATATTATTCATTAGCTGCGAGATCAGTGAATCGATAGATAGATAGACCCATTACCTTGCGGTGTGGGGTAAAACACAGAAAAAGAAAAACGAAATGGAACACCTAGCGGGGAAGTTCTCGAACTTCTACAGGAGTTAGCGACCCTGGGCTGCCGCAGCTACTCGTTTAGACCTCGGGCTAGCAATCCGTTTCTGGACTTTAAACTCATCTTGCTATCAAATAAACAGTGAATCGGCTGTTCACGAGTTGTTGATCATGACATGAGCGATGTTGTGACTTAACTGAAATATCATGTAGCGGCATGAAACACATACGAAAGCTATGTATCATCTAACATAGCATCCAAAGTCACTTATTACTAGAGGTGACACGTAACTATTACGAAGAATAGGAATAACTATTTCCTGCGGACACAAATAGAAGTTTTTTTCCAACAAACTTATAAAATTCTAATAGAATCCCATAGTGCCCTGTGTAGGATTCTTTCAGCTAACGTTCCTATACATATTCTCTAGGATTTTAAGATAAGCAAATGGAATGATAGCCTGAAGCGTCTACTTTCAGAATATATATACTTTGACACTACATCGGTAGTTTTTGTGCGGATTTCACAGGTTTTATGAGGATTCCTTATAAAGAATTTACTATTTTATTTCGATCTGACGTATTCATGCTATGAAAGTAATTGTTGTTCAGCACAAATACTTAATGGTGGTGAGTCCAATGCATAGATGAACAAGCTTAGAGAGTTCTTAAAATGATTCCTGGAAGGTCTGCAGAGATCCTCAATGGGTTTAGAAAGATCTGTTGTTCCTAAAAATCTGTTTTCACACAGAAAAGACTTACAATGTTGCTAAATTCAATTTGTAAGTGTATGAGCGTAATAGGAATGTAAAAGGGCTTTATAGAATGTCTGTGGAGACGGTTTAGAGGGGTATATTACAAATCTAACACTGAATGCGTAATTGAGTAAGCACAGTATTCTAAAATGTATTTGTACTGTTTTATTATATATATCCTAGCGCATGATGTCACTAGTTAGCACTAGTACTTAGTAGTTGATCACAGCACCGGCAGTGTAAGAATATGTCTATATATATATATAAGAGACAAAGAAAGGAAAAGATCGAACAATACATATAAAACATCGTGAAATACACAATAGATTTCGAACCATTCTGTGTTCTCTTACTTTACTTTCTCTGTTTTTTGGTAAAAAAAACTAAGAATTTTTAAAGAAAGGAGTATGAGTAGTATGCCACATGATAATGATAGTTTAGATTTTTATCAAATAATTCAAAATAAATTTTTAATTTATTGATGAATAAAACAAAATGTCAAGCATGTAATCAGGAATGGAATGGAGAAATGAACATAAGAAAAAGAGAAGGCAAATATCCTTGTTAATATAATTATTCGATTTTCAACTATGTAAAAGCCTTCTAATTGAGCTTTTACTCATTGTAGGTAATCCAAATAAATATGTCACAACAAATTCCATTTGTTAATCAATATGCAAATGAATCAATGAAAAATGCTGTTGATGATGCTGTAAAAAGTGGTGATACAACTGATTTAACTGTTAGTGGCGATGGATCTTGGCAAAAGCGTGGCTTTTCTAGTGTCCATGGTGTTTCCACCATTAATTCATCAAACACACTACTATCCGTACCAAATGGTCGTGCAGTCGGTTGCTTTTTGAATAGCTCCTCACGGGAGATAGATAATGAAGTGCGGTTTTCAGCATTAGAAAGAGGACACTTTAAGACATCGTTTCATAAGCGAGAGTCAGTTTCAGGAAAATTTCCTAACTTCGTTTTCCAGGACATCTTTGAAAAACCAGGTCGTGTGTGCGAATTTTCCAATAGGATTGTATTGATTTTTTTTCATGAGCTGATAGCCCGGGATGTTCTCTTGAAAATAGAAGCCAGGCGAGACCTTGATTTTCCGTGGTTCGGGCGTTGTATCGGATTTCCTACGAGTCCCAGGACTGACACCCGGTGACTATTGGTAGCCTTAAAGACGGATGGACTATGGGTAATCGACCATG